GTGTTCATGACGACTTATATATTTACTTTCATTCATTCACAGTGCGGTATAATGAGACAATAACAGGCTACAGATGCGGGGACACACACACACACACACACACACACACATATTTATATATATATTTATATAAATGTATACAATTTCAGAATCAAACAGAGCACTCTCATAATAACGTAACACTATCAGAGACTGGATATATCCCCCCCCCCCCCCCTCTCTGGTCGCTACAATGAGGGAAATAAATGACGGGCCAAAAGTTTTATTTACAAGTATTACAAGTAAGCAGAGGACACCAAACCAACTGAGACCTGTCTCTCGGCTGCATCTACGCACACACTGCACCACACACACCTACACCACACACACACGCACCTACAGCTCCTAAAGCATAATAATCAGGCTACAGCCGTTGTGTATTTTATTATGTGAAGCACTAAATGGTTTTAGAAAAATATCGACTCTTTGTTTGTAGATATCTACTAAACTAAAGCAAATAAAGAGAGTAGGCCTGTTATACTGAGTGATATATATTATACACACTGCTCTGCTTTCTGCACGGACCTCACAGCTGTTCTCACTGTAAACATCGCGTCGCGATGAAAGCAGTTAATAAAATAATATCCAGGGGATGCATGCAGAGCTGTCATTGGCTGAGATCAGTCCGGCCGTGCGTCACGACTCTTTGAAACATCTCTGTTCCCGGAAAGGCATCCACGGAGGAGCCGTGGAGACTGATGGAGGACCCGTCAGTGTAATCCTCGGTTATAGCTCCTCCAGAGAGCCTCCTCGACGCTCGGATGCTCGGTTCCTCGATGTGCATTTCGAGAAAATGAGATGTCCTTCAACATGGCGCGCTAAAAATTCTTTCCGGGTCACTACCGAGACCGAGGAGTCGAGGAGTCGAGGAGTCGAGGAATGGGACATTTGATACATGAGAAAGGGCCCTGGTCTCCCAGCTGTGTAGCGTCACTCTATTAGTGTCCCCTGGTCTCCCAGCTGTGTGCGTCACTCTTTAGTGTCCCCTGGTCTCCCAGCTGTGTGCGTCACTCTTTAGTGTCCCCTGGTCTCCCAGCTGTGTGCGTCACTCTTTAGTGGTCCCCTGGTTCTCCCAGCTGTGTGCGTCACTCTTTAGTGTCCCCATGTCTCCCAGCTGTGTGCGTCACCTTACGATAGTGTCCCCAGGTATCTTAGTGTCCCCTGGTCTCCCAGCTGTGTGCGTCACCTCTTTAGTGTCCCCTGGTCTCCCAGCTGTGTGCGTCACTCTTTAGTGTCCCCATGTCTCCCAGCTGTGTGCTGTCACTCTTTAGTGTCCCATGGTCTCCAGCTGTGTGCGTCACTCTTTAGTGTCCCCTGGTCTCCCAGCTGTGTGCGTCACTCTTTAGTGTCCCCTGTTCTCCCAGCTGTGTGCGTCACTCTTTAGTGTCCCCATGTCTCCCAGCTGTGTGCGTCACTCTTTAGTGTCCCCTGGTCTCCCCAGCTGTGTGCGTCACTCTTTAGTGTCCCCTTGTCTCCCAGCTGTGTGCGTCACTCTTTAGGTCCCCATGTCTCCCAGCTGTGTGCGTCACTCTTTAGTGTCCCTGGTCTCCCAGCTGTGTGGCGTCACTCTTTAGTGTCCCCTGGTTCTCCCAGCTCGTCTGTCCGCTCCCAGCTGTGTGCGTCACTCTTTAGTGTCCCCTGGAACCATGTTCCTTTTGTAATTTATCTGATGAATCGTTGGAACATTTATTTTTCTCTTGCCCCTTTTCTGAATTGTTTTGGTCGAATGTGAGAGATTGGTTGTTACTTAAATTAACAAATATTCCGGCCTTCAAAATATATCACATTTTATATTATATTGATAATTTGGACTCTCCCATTTCTGATTTGGTAAATATAATTATTATTTTGGGTAAATACCATTTACATTGTAGTAAATGGAGAGGAGGTAAGCCCATCCTTTCCCTGTTTCATAAATGAGTTCAAGTCCTTTTTTCTGTCCCTTAGAAAAAATACAATCTTGTAACCTGTCTATAAAGATTTGCAATGACATTTCCAAATGGTTATTATTTAAGTAAGCTTAATGCCTCTTAAATGTTTTTGTGCCTTTATGCTTTTTTCTTTCCCCCTGGCTCTTACTGGATGTATTAGTTATGTTTTTTGTCTTATTGTGAATGAATGTCTTGAACTTATGTTGATAAGTTGATGATATCCTCACCGAGCTTTTGTATGTTTAAAAAAATGTTCAATAAAAAAAAAAAAAAAAAAAAAAAAAAAAAAAAAAAAAAAGTGTAGGCGGAGCGACGCTGCTTAAAACTGCCGTGACGTCATCTTCAATGCGACACAACAATGGAGATGTGAAAGCGATCGTTTGCTTGTTTTTTGCTGTGTGGTTTATTATCACAAGAAATAGACAAGAGTTGTTTCGAAAGAGGCGACGTATAGCAAGACGAGGTATAGAAGAAGCTGACGCGAGAGTTCGGGCAGTCCTCCTACGCCGCAGAGACTACAGGACGACTCGAATCACTACTAACTACAATGCTACTTGGTAAGCTAACGTTCGCTAACTAGCAATGTGTTTAGGCTCACGCTCCCTATACGACCAAAGTATTTCAAGTATTTAATTAATTGTAGCTACCACTTTTACGTATTAAAATATGTATGCTTTTGTTTGTGTATTTCAGAAGTTACCGACCCGAGCTACCGAGTGGTGGAATGTGATTGTTCCATCTTTCACACACTCAGTGGGTGGAGAACTTCAGGATGCCTGAGGAAAACCTACGTGTAATACCTAAATATTCATTGTATTGTATTGAACATAAATACATCTTTTCTTTTTCACATACATGTGTTTGTCAAATTATTTAAACCAAAAAAATGTTATCAGAATTGACTATTTAGTAAATATTTGAATTTCAAGCACCAGTACTGCCCCCATAATAATAATCTAATAAATTAAGCAAATATCAAAGCAAACTATAAACATAAATACAAAAGTGTAAAACACAACAGAACTATATTCATAAATGCAAGAGTAAAAAATTGTTAACATGGATGGAGGCTAAAGTATCCACAGCATAAAATAATATGATTATGATGGTTTGTCTGAAAGACACAGCCTCAAGGTTCAAGGTTTTTTATTTTGTCATACGAACATAGCTAGTGTAGTTATGACAATGAACATCTTAGGTCACAGGGCTCCTCCAACAGTGCAACACAATAACCCAGATCAACAGAAATATAGTGCAAGTAAATATTAAGCGCTGTGCACCGCTCTCTTTGTATAGGTGTTTTCTTTTGTTCTCTTCTCTTTGAAATATATAAGCAATGTGTTTGAGTCTAGCACAACGAGGGTATTACAATTGAGTAATTTTTCTACATGTATTTATCATGTATTCTTAATACCATTACAAAATATGTAATGTTATGTTTTAGAGGAGGACCTCAAGCTAGCAAACTCAATTTCAAACAGTATGCAGAGTTGTCCTGCTAAAGAGTTAAAATGTATTATTTAACCAAGTATTTATTCTCTTATTTGCTTTAATTGCAACAGATGATAAAGGTTTCACTGTGATAAGTATTCTCTTAAATCCATAAACCCCTGTACAGTGCTTTGTGGACGATGGTGTTTATGATATTTCTGACTGCAGAGGGACGCCTAGATGATGCCATCTTTCTGTGCGATCGCTGGTGGGTGCAATTATTTATCAACAAGCAATAAGATAAGACATGGCATTGATTCTGCTGGGCCAGTTGCCGTTCCTGCAGGGCCAGATCCTCTCCTCCTCGGTTTGTGCTGTTGATGCAGAGGACGTTGTTCGGAACTGTTCCTCCTCGCTAGTCCCAATGTAATCATCTAGAACAGAAACATGACTTGTAATTCCACAAACTACTGCAGCACAATACTATAAATAGCAACAACAACTATAGAAAAGACAAACTGAACGTAAACAATGGCACATATGGTGTTAGCAAACAATAGCTCTCGCTAATGCTATCTGCCTAGCTAGCCTTCGGGGCTCCATCGGGGTTGTCGAACATAAATGTAAAGGATAAAATAGACTTATTTGTTAGAAGTGAGCTTTAGAACAGATAGGGACACAAAGCAGGGACACAAAGCTTTCAAGCAAATAACAGCGTTAGCAAAAACGTACCATGCAGACTCCAGTAACGCCGTTGGAGAGTCCAGTGTCTGTGTAGAGACCTCCTGAAAGACTTTGATATTGCGAGTTTGTCCCGTCGAGCACACCGCTGGACCTTATCATCTGCAATATAATGGACGTCGTCACTTCCTCGACCGACCATGGTGTGCTTTTCTTTGCCATTGTTGTAGCTCCTCTGTTAACAAAAATGCTGTTTGTAAAAATGGATTATCTCGCGCGCAGATTGTGACGATTCTCTCCGACCAATCAGCAGCCGAGAGCGTTGACGTCACAAACTCAGCCCGGTTGTCTCGGCCCTGGCCCCACGATTTTATGAGGCCAGAAAAACTGAGAATTAGGACCAGCCGGCCGGTACTAGGCCAAGTGGAAACGCAACCACAAACGGGCCGCTGACGTCACAGCCCTCTTAAACCGGGCTGCGCGCTGTAGTGGAAACGCGCCATTATAGTCTGTGTTGTTGTGTGGGGGGTCTACTAGGGGTCGTGGTGGTTATATAGTCTGACCGCTGCAGGAAGGAAGGACCTGCGGTATCTCTCTAATGTGTAGGTGGTCCAATACTTTTGTCTACATTGTGTATAATTGAGTATCATCCGCATAACAATGAAAATGTCCCGAGTGATTCCTTATTGCCTAAAGGAAGCGTATATAATGTGAACACAATAGGTCCAAGCTCTGAGCCCTTATGCTTTGCTGTGGCAGAACTGGCTGGATCAAATCAAACAGAACTCTAAACACATTTTCAGCTCTGCACACAATCTGCAATTCAACTCTGCACTTTCTAAAACACTGCACACGGTTCTCTGAGTAACACACAGAGATCTGACATATTCACCTGTCAGCCATTTTCAACACACTGCCATTAAACATGCTACACATATGAGCCAATGAACAGATACACATGCCAGCTGACCGTTAACGCCTGGCTGCTTTACTGCTGACTCATCAATCAGGATATAAGTACAAGAAGTGGGATATTTATTTTAAAAATCTAAGTATAAGTACAAACAACAATATCCTGTTTATGAAATACACAAGAAAAGAAAGAAGATAGTTCATGAGAAAAGCACTCGGATAGAAAGTCAGAAACATTTGAAATATTTGTTGAAAACAAATGTAAATAAAATGTCCAAAGAAAGTATTCAGAGTAATTCTTATTACAGTTTTATAATTGTTTTATATATTTCTCAAATGACCTGCTTTGACTGCAGCTTGAGAAACTTCTGGATTCAGTCTGAAAGCATCCTTTTTTAACTTTAAACATGATCTTTAATAACGTTGTAGTTTAGTTTAACTCTGAGAGGTGGACTGGCTGGACTCCTCACTGGGACTCTGGTTCTGGAGCAGCTTGCAGGGTCCAGGAGTTCTTGGAGAGAAGGAGCGCTTCCTGCCGCAGGACTCGGGGGATGGGAGTTCCTGAACATGGAGAAACAGCTTCAGTTATTATGCTCCAAATATCTGGAACAAAGTCACAGAAAGAATGTGTCTGCAGCTCAGAGAGTCCTGATGGGAACCCACACATGTTGAGGAGCCCAAAGTGTGATGAGAGAAATGTACAGTACGGGTCCCCAGCACATAGAAGCTGCCGGATGCTAACCTGCATATGTTGGGAGAGCTTTACAGATCAGGGGCCTCATTTATACATAACCTTCCTCAGGCAGTGTGTTTGTGCCGGGGACAGGAGACACCCCCCTTGATGAGAAACTGTAAGAAATGATGGGGGAATCCCTCCGGAGTGGAGTCATGACGACTGGATCTGAATTATTTTGTTGTATTTGGTGGTTTGTGTTCCAGCTGTCGATCAGCAACTATATATCCATAATCCACCAGTTAAAGGAAATACAACTAATGTGTTGTGTTATATTAGCTGTACAATTTACCACATATGGTGTTCTTAGTTTCCATACCTCCTGTGTTTTACGAGCGACTTATCAAGTCTTGGCAAACGGCATAAAACACGATTAAACGTGATAGTATATAAAACCATGCTCGTATCTACAACCTATAGAAAAGCAAAACGGCGTCAGTTTAGACGTAATTGTGTCCTCCTGCTTACCGCATCATTTATGAGAAAACATTTCATAACATTAACACAACATATTCGTGGTGGTTTTAAATAGCATATCCGTATTTATTTATTTCTCCAAGTTATGTGTTTGTGTGCACTGAGGAGTCTCAAACAGGCGTTTGTTTAATCATTTTAAGATTGGCTTTAATCAATGTTTGAAAATGAATTCTTCATATTTGATAAATGAGAGGTAACATTTTATTTATGGTATTATTTCCACATATTTCTCTCCATTCTTCCTTCTGCCAACGGTGTCGCAGTTTCTCGTCTCTCCCGTGTGTGTGCTTAGTGCGTACGCATGGGTTAGAGTTTGCGTGGAGGACCGCACATTTTCCCGTCAAGTTAGTATTTGATAAATCGCAAACATTGCGTAGAAACTGGCGTACGCCATTTTTTGAGCGTATATCCCTTTATAAATGAGACCCCTGGAGAGGAACTAAGTACATTTACTCAAGTACTGTACTTAAGTACAATGTTGAGGTACTTGTACTTTACCTGAGTATTTCCCTTTGATGCTACTTTGTACTTCTACTCCACTACAGTTCAGAGGTAAATGGTGTACTTTTACTTTAATACCTGATATAATCAATAATTATTAAACTTATATTATTCTGAAATGGACCAATCTGCACAATAGCCGCGTTCACACCGGAGTACTTTTCACCGTACTTTTCGCGTTTAGTTCCGTTAGTACCCCTTATGTCGCGTTCACACCAAAAAGAGCACTTCATCCCGGGAACTTTTACCCCCATTTTAGTGCCTGCTGAGAGATGGTACTTTCCTGGGGGAAAAAAGTGCCCCAGTTCTGATTGGCTGGGCGAATTGCAAACTACGCCCCGTAAAACTCTGAAATGTTTTGTAGAGCCGCCATTTTATTATACTCGCATTAGCATTATTAGCATTAATAATGTGTAACTTGCTGCAGTTAAATACCATCATACTATGTGCAATATGTGCAATATATTTTATACATAGGCCATTAATAACTGTGTAATATATATATACCTGGCTGCTAAATCCTAAGAACTGTTACAGGATTTGTATTTTGGAAAGTATTTTTCTTTTACTTTTATTTTTTTTATATAATATTTTTTATTATATCGTAACTTAGTACTTTGTTTTTCTTAACATAGGTATCATTAAGCTGTCTGTGGCTCTTTCCTGCTGTAACGATGCAAATTTCCCCTCCGTGGGACTAATAAAGGTATTCTGATTCTGATTAGCATTATTAGCATTAGCATTAGCCCAGCTCACCAACGCAGAGAGACTAACTTATGGCAATACAAAATAAAACATGGGAGCGGTGGAGATGAGGAGGTATCGGCGTTCTGGCGATTTACTCGGAAGGCTTCAGTAGAAGCTGCTGGGAGTCCCAGCAGCTTCTACTTTTGGTACTTTAACTATATTTTGATGCTAATACTTTTCTACTTGTATTGAGTAACATTTGAATGCAGGCCTTTTACTGTAACAGAGTATTCCTACACTCTTGTACTTCTACTTTTACTCAAGTACAAGATCTGAGTGCTTCTACTTCTCTCAAGTACAATATCTAAGTACTTCTACTTTTACTCACGCGTCACTGTTTTGATAGACAGTTCTTGTGAAGAGAAACAGCCAAAATGATGAAGAGAGAAAAACAAGAGTGTTGTTTTCCTCTGAGGACATGCTCCATGAAATAGTTTCATATCTTGATGAATGGAGGATATTCAGTACTCACAGTTCTTCTGGATCTTGGCTCTGATCGTCTCTCCTCTGATCCTGTAGGGATGAACACAATCCAACAGTTATGGATCCAGTTTAAAATAAGTGTTTGTTCTTTGAGTCAGCTTCAGAGTCCTGACTGATCTCATGCTTTACATCCCATCATATCTTCTCTGCAAACACTACGACTGACTGCCACAGCTCTCAGCTGCATTAAAGGAAGTAACAGTCATTAGTCAAGGAACTAAAAACATCCCATCAAAAACAGACTACCTTTTCCACTCTCCTGTCAAATCCCATATGTCTGGTGGAAAGTTGATTACTTACTAAATGTGGCTTTGCATTTTCAGCTGGCCTTCTATAGTTGATGGAAGAATGAAAGAGCCTGCAGTCAGTGGGTAACATCACTGATCTGTTGTGATTCCCCAGTGAGAGAAACACCTCCCTGTGTTTCATACAATACTGCTGAACCAGCAGAGACCCCTTACTGACCTGAGGGTCTCCAGTCTGCAGTCTGGACTCTCCAGAAGATCTCTCAGCAGCTTCTCTCCTGAATCCTGCAGAGCGTTGTGACTCAGGTCCAGATCTCTCAGATGGATGTTGGACTTCAGAGCTGAGGCCAGAGCAGAACAGCTGATCTCTGACAAGCTGCAGCTCCTCAGACTGAATAAAGAAAACATGATGAGGATACAAATCAGTTTATAATCCAATCAGATGTTACTCAACATTTAAATGAATCTGAACAGAAAAATCTGTCTACTTCAAAAAGTAAACGTTATCATGTACAACTAATATTACTTCAGATTACCTTTATTCAGACTTTATCGTTTACTAAATATGAAATACATAGATTTACTTTTTACAACTAACATCTATTACAGTTACTTTAAGAAACACTCAACATGTATGTCTGCAGTTCTTACTTCAGTACGTTAAAATGAAATATGAATATAAGGACATTTACAACTTTATGGCTGTAAGTTATTAATGAATATAAATGAGGTTCAATTCCAAAGTGAACATGTGAGATCTCCAGCAGTAACAGAGAGTCAGTGAACTGACCTGAGAGTCTCCAGTCTGCAGTCTGGACTCTCCAGAAGATCTCTCAGCAGCTCCACTCCTGAATCCTGCAGAGGGTTCTCACTCAGGTCCAGCTCTCTCAGATGGGAGGGGTTGGACTTCAGAGCTGAGATCAGAGCAGAACAGCTGATCTCTGACAACCTGCAGTCCTCCAGACTGAATAAAGAAAACATGATGTAACTTTAGAAAACAATGTTCCTGTTTGAAATAACTCCAGGTTTAATAATCTGTTCAGAGTTAAACAGGGTTTTAATGTCAGAGATGATGCAGAAACAATCCACTGATAATCTGGAACTTTAACTTTGATCAGATGTTGAACAACTCCTTCATCTCCCTCATAGCTCATCAGTACTGACAGCATCTCCACTGACTCATGGAGCACAGAGTGAGTCTGTGGAAGCTCAAACACTCTCCCTCACACATTCACCTTCTCTTAGTTACTCTGATCAATATCCAGTCATTAGCAAAAACGGAACAAATAAAAATAACATTGTATTTGTTCAAATTCAGAAAATCAAAAACACAAACAGATCAAAATGAACTGCAGTCAGTGAACTGACCTGAGAGCCTCCAGTCTGCAGTTTGGACTCTTTAGTCCAGAACTCAGCAGCTCCACTCCTGAATCCTGCAGCTCGTTGTTACTCAGGTCCAGATCTCTCAGATGAGAGGGGTCAGACTTCAGAGCTGAGGCCACGACTTCACAGTGAGGCTCTGAGAGTCCAAAGCCAGTAAGTCTATAATAAAACATATATTATAACGATACTTGCCAACCCTCCCGATTTTCGCGGGAGACTCCCGATTTCATTGCCCTCTCCCGGTTTCCTCCCGGGGTCATATTTCTCCCGCATTTCTCCCGATTTCTGACAAAATCAGATTTACTCAGGACTGTTTCCACTCGGACAATACAGCTACACCATTGTTTGGTTTCCATGGTAGCGTAGCGCGCGCAACTGAAAGTCTGAGAGGGTGAGGAAGATAGTCACAGCAAACAGAACAAGAATCGACAATTCTACCCTCTGCTCACTCCTTTCCTGTAAAATACAGGTCCAGCCCACACATATGGTGCTACAGGCCGCAAGGCAGTGCACTTACAACTACAATAAGCATGTTAATGTTAATCTAATACAGCTCCGGCGATCCACTAGCACCCACCTCCCCCCCCGCGGTGGTTTTGGAAATGCTCCCGATTTCTGAGGTCTCAAGGTTGGCAAGTATGATTATAACATGTGTTAAAAAAGAGGAAACATTATATTAACATCAAGCATTTGATGAAAAAAGATTTGACATGTTCTGATAGACCTTTGCTGTTAGTCCATTTAATATAATATATAATAATATATGATCATAGAGTGTAATGAGTTGTCAGTGTGATCTGATCACATGTCTGTGCTCCTGCTGTCACTGACTGTTACTAAAAGAAACAGACATTAAATGAATCACTTGACAATATTAGAGATGTACATATTTAAATGTTAGTTAATATGTGGATGTGAATGATGGATGAAGGATGTTTTGGCTTCTCTGAGCATCTGAACATTTATTGCGCACACAAACACAATTAACAAACCAATAAAGTTTCAATATGTTCAACTTGATAGCATCAGATGTTCCCAGTATATCAGCATTAAGACATAACTCTGTTATTGGTGGGAAATGATATAGATCTGATTTTAAACTCTAACACATTGTGATAAAAACGTGTTTAATGATAAAGAAACTACTAGAAAGTAATAATAACATGTTTCTGTGATAACTGTAAGTCCTGCTGTGTGGTGTGATCACATGCTGAGAAACCTCTCAAGTCCTTCATGTGTTTGACATGTCGTCTCCATCACTCAATATGAAGAGAGGAACGCTTCAGTTTAACTATTATTATAAATAAATAGAAGAACAGTGTTGGTTTGATTTTGCTCTCTCAGTATTTAAACAGCAGAAATGTTATAGTGTTTATTTGAATAATTAAACTCCTGATCCACATTAGTTTATAAAGTTAATCACATCTGGACTTACTTGAACTTCCTGCAGTTCCTCACAGCTGGAATCAGTCTCAGTCGTCCCTCACCTGATGTGTTGTACTTCTTCAGGTCCAACTCATCCAGAACCTCCTCTGACATCTGCAGCATGTAGGCCAGAGCAGAGCAGTGGATCCCAGAGAGTTCCTTATCTGATCTGTTCCCTGACTTCAGGAACTCTGTGATCTCCTGATGTACTGAGTGGTCCTTCATCTCTGTCAGACAGTGGAAGATGTTGATGTTCCTGTCAGGAGAGGAATAACTGCTCATCTCCTTCAGGTTGCTGATGGCTCTCTGGATGGTTTCTGGTCTGTTGTCTGTGCGACCCAGCAGGCCTCCTAACAGTCTCTGGTTGGACTCCAGAGAGAGGCCGTGGAGAAAGCGGACAAACAGGTCCAGGTGGCCATTTTCACTTTGGATGGATTTCTTCATGGCTCTCTTCAGGAAGTCATCCAGGGATGGGAAATCCTGATCACTGCTGTTGTTATAGTCTCTCTGCAGGAAGTCCTTCAGTACCGCTGTGTCTCTGTTGGTGTAACAGTGCAACATGTAGACTGCAGCCAGAAACTCCTGAATGCTCAGATGAACAAAGCAGTAGACTGTTTTCTTGAAGATCACTCTCTCTCTTTTGAAGATCTGTGTACAAACTCCTGAGTGCACCAAGGCCTCGGTGACATCAAGACCACAGCGCTCCAGGTCTTCTTGGTAGAACATGATGTTTCCTTTCTCCAGATGTTCAAACGCCAGCCTCCCCAGCTTCAGAAGAACCTCCCTGTCAGCCTTCGTCAGCTGCTGTGGACTCGTCTCATGTCCCTTTTCATACTTCTGCTTCTTCCTCTTGGTCTGGACCAGCAGGAAGTGTGAGTACATGTCAGTGAGGGTCTGGGGCAGCTCTCCTCTCTGGTCTGTAGTCAACATGTGGTCCAGAACTGCAGCAGTGATCCAGCAGAAGACTGGGATCAGACACATGATGTGGAGGCTCCTGGAGCTCTTGATGTGAGAGATGATTCTGCTGGACAGGTCTTCATCACTCCATCTCCTCCTGAAGTACTCCTCCTTCTGGGCGTCAGTGAAGCCTCGTACTTCTGTTACCCTGTCCACACACTCAGGAGGGATCTGATTGGCCGCTGCAGGTCTGGAAGTTATCCAGACGAGAGCCGAGGGAAGCAGCTTCCCCCTGATGAGGTTTGTCAGCAGCACGTTGACTGAGGACTGCTGAGAGACATCAGACACAACCTCATTGTTTCTGAAGTCCAGAGAAAGTCTGCTTTCATCCAGGCCGTCAAAGATGAGCAGCACTTTGCAGACAGCCAGCTGCTCTGCTGTGACCTTCTGTAAGGTTGGATGGAAAACATGGAGCAGCCTGAGAAGACTGTACTGCTCACCTTTGATCAGGTTCAGCTCCCTGAAGGAGAGCGGGATCACCAGACTGACATCTTGGTTTCCCAAACCCTCGGCCCAGTCCAGAGTGAACTTCTGCACTGAGAAGGTTTTTCCAACTCCAGCGACTCCGTTGGTCAGGACCGCTCTGATGAGAGTCTGTTGGTCAGGTAAGGCTTTGAAGATGTCCTGGCACTTGATTGGAGTGTCATGGAGGGGCTTCTTCTTGGAAGCTGTCTCCAGCTGCCTCACCTCATGTTGGGTATTAACCTCTTCACTCTGGCCTTGTGTGATGTAGAGCTCAGTGAAGATGCTGTTGAGGAGGGTTTCACTTTGATCAGTTCCTTCAGTCACACGTTCAAATCTCCTCCTCAGACTGAGCCTATGTTCATCTAAAACCTCCTGCAGACCACTATCTGCTGGAAGAGAAGGAAACGTGAGAGAATGAGGAAAATGCTTTTGGGAATCTAATTATAACAATAAAACAACAAAAAACAGACTGAGTTTAAATGTTTTATAAACAGCTTACTGTCTATGCTCTACAACAGTATACCTGTTCAAACACAAATGAACCAGGAAGAGGAATAA